GGTTTGATAAAGATGCTTCATTTCATGCTGATTACACCGCTTTCATGAATGACATCCTTTCAAAGGGCTATGCAGAGAAAGTGCTAGTTGTGGATCTGGAACGCAGTGACGGCAGGGTATGGTATATACCACATCATGGTGTATACCACCCAAAGAAGAAAAAGATCAGGGTCGTATTTGACTGTGCAGCTACATTCCAGGGAACATCGCTGAATGCGCAGCTCCTACAGGGACCAGATCTTACCAGCACACTGGTTGGAGTCATGACAAGATTCAGAAAGGAACCTGTTGTACTCATGGCAGACATTGAAGCCATGTTTCATCAGGTTCGAGTACCAGCTGAGGATTCAGATCTGTTGAGGTTTCTCTGGTGGCCAAATGGAGATCATCATCAGAACTTAGAAGAGCACAGAATGGTTGCACATCTGTTTGGAGCTACATCGTCGCCAAGTTGTGCTAGTTTTGCCCTTAGAAAGTGTGCAGAGGACCATCGGGAGCAGTTCAGCCCCAAAGTAATCAACACTGTCCTGCACAATTTCTATGTTGATGATTGTCTAACATCTGTGGTCTCAGAGGAGGATGCAGTGGCACTCTATCATGACCTTTGTGCACTTTGTGCTCAAGGGGGTTTTCATCTCACAAAGTGGATTAGCAACAGACGTACCGTGCTTGCTGCTATACCTTCGATGGAGAGAGCGAAAGAAGTTAAGGATCTGGACTTGGATAATGACACACTCCCTGTGGAAAGAGCATTGGGCGTACAGTGGTGTGTTGAGTCAGATGTCTTTAAGTTCAAGATCATGATCAAGGACAAACCCATAACCAGAAGAGGGATCCTTTCCATGGTCAGCTCAATCTTTGACCCATTAGGAATATTGGCACCTGTGGTCCTATCAGCCAAGATGATTCTTCAAGACTTGTGCAGAAGGGAACTTGGTTGGGATGATATTATACCAGCCTCAGCTGCACAAGAGTGGAAAAGTTGGCTGAAGGAGCTCTGCAATCTCGAAGAGTTTAAAGTTGACAGATGCCTAAAACCGGTGGATTTTGGGGAAGTGACCTCTGCTCAGCTACACCACTTTGCAGATGCAAGTGAAGACGGCTATGGAACAGTGACTTACCTGTTATTACATAACATCAAAGGACAAGTGCACTGTGTCTTCATTATGGGAAAAGCTAGAGTGGCCCCATTGAAACCAATAACCATCCCTCGAATGGAATTGACGGCTGCCGTGGTTGCAAGTCGTATGGACAAGATGTGTAGGAAGGAGCTGCAAATGCAACTTAAAGACTCTTTTGGACTGATAGTACTTCCGTATTAAAGTACATCAGTAATGAGACCTTAAGGTTTCGTACATTCGTCGCAAACAGGGTTTCAAAAATACGCAGTGTATCAAATCCATCTCAGTGGAGATATGTTCCCACCGCAAGCAATCCTGCCGACTGGGCTTCCAGGGGAGTCAAAGTGGAAACGCTCCTGAAAGATGACACATGGGTGTCTGGACCTCAGTTTCTCACTGGACCTGAAGAACAGTGGCCTGTGAACCCTGATGGCTCTGAAATGGCACCAGAAGACCCTGAGGTCAAGATAAGTCTGAATGTGAACGCTGTGCAGGTTGAAAAAGAGATGGATGCTGTAACCCGATTGATCAATTACTTCTCTTCTTGGATCCACCTGAAGAAGACGGTTGGTTGGATCCTTAGGTTGAAAAACCTGCTGCTGTGCTCATAGTCGATGACTCAGCACCTCGCAACTCATGGCTTACAGGAAGGATTGTACAAACCATTCCAGACAGAAGAGGACTTGTACGTCAGGTGCGAGTGAAGACAAAAACTAGCTATCTGGACAGGCCTATCACAAAGACCTGCCTTCTACAGGAAGCAGAAGAGCCGTGAGGAAATTAGTGGGTTATTGAACTTCATAGACCTTGACATTGACGTTTTTTCCGACTTTTTACCAAGTGATAGTAAAGATCACTCCTTCATAGGCTAACAAACTATATCTTTTTCTTTTTCTATTTTTTTTTTTGCCTAAAGAAGAAAAGGACACTTTAACAAAGGACGTTTTTATTCTTAAAAGTTTTTTCCTTGATTGTCTCCTACATCATTTTTCAGTTGTGTAATTATTATGTTGATATAATTAGGGGCCGGAATGTAGGAGCCACATTTGAAGTAGTAGTTTCTGTGTTTATTACGGTACATGTTTTTGAGTCACTATAGGTGGTGGGCGTGTCAAAGGATTGGTGTGGTGACGTTTGCGGTTATATCCGGTTGCTTTTACCTGCACACTTTGTGATAGATGGAGGGGGAGTGAGCTGGAGAAGGACAATTTTTGTTGACCGCACGCACGCACGGACGCATGCACACATAATATACATATGGATATGGACTATTGAACTTTTGCTAAGAAAATAAAAGGTCAAACGCATACTGTTTGGAAAGACTGAGTTTTTGCGCGTCCACAGTGTTTTTTCTCTTGTTTAGTCCCTCGCGGCACTTTGTTTGAAAGTTTACTGCCGCAATAGTGAGCTTTAATAAAAAAGCTGATGAACGTAAATAACATCGCATGAAACACATAGGTAACACGAGGAAGATACAATACCAAAAACGATCGTGACCAACATGGAGGGAGACAGGTAAAACCAACAATGAACCGACAAGGCACACAGGGGAAGACGAGACTAAATACAGAGAGGGGTAATCACAAGACAAGACACAGCTGGGGTAAGGGAGGCAGAAACACAAGGGCAACAGGTGAACACAATCAGACACACCAGGGAAACTAACGACAGGAAGGCAAACACAGGAAGAAGGAACAGAGAAGAAGAAAACATTTCAAAACAAAGGTGGAAAATGAAAACATAAATACAAGAGTAGTCGGTAGAACCCCCAATGGGACAGGACATGGAGTTGGCAAGACCCCCGGCAGGAGAATAGTCGGCGGGACCTCCAACAGCACAGGACATAGGGTTGGCAGGACCCCCGGCAGAAGAGTAGTCGGCGGGACCCCCAATGGGACAGGACATGGAGTTGGCAAGACCCCCGGCAGGAGAGTAGTCGGCGGGACCTCCAACGGCACAGGACACAGGGCTGACAGGACCCCCGGCAGAAGAGCAGTCGGCGGGACCCCCAATGGGACAGGACATGGAGTTGGCAAGACCCCCGGCAGGAGAGTAGTCGGCGGAACCTCCAACAGCACAGGACATAGGGTTGGCAGGACCCCCGGCAGAAGAGTAGTCGGCGGGACCCCCAACGGGACAGGACATAGGATTGGCAAGACCCCCGGCAGAAGAGTAGTCGGCGGGACCCCCAATGGGACAGGACATGGAGTTGGCAAGACCCCCGGCAGGAGAGTAGTCGGCGGGACCTCCAACAGCACAGGACATAGGATTGGCAGGACCCCCGGCAGAAGAGTAGTCGGCGGGACCCCCAATGGGACAGGACATGGAGTTGGCAAGACCCCCGGCAGGAGAGTAGTCGGCGGGACCTCCAACGGCACAGGACATAGGATTGGCAGGACCTCCGGCAGAAGAGTAGTCGGCGGGACCTCCAACGGGACAGGACATAGGGTTGGCAAGACCCCCGGCAGAAGAGTAGTCGGCGGGACCTCCAACGGTACAGGACATGGGGTATGCAGCTGCCGTAGAGCCAACAGGACACGGGGGGCTGGCGTCGGCCGGAGAGCCAACAGGAGACGAGGTGCTGGAGTGGGCCGAACCACTGACAAAACACGGGGGGCTGGCGTTGGCCGGGGAGCCAGTACTGGAGCCGAAACTGAAGCCGGAACCATGGCTGCTGGGGACAGAACTGGGGCCGGAACCATGGCTGCTGGGGCCAGAACTGGGGCCGGAACCATGGCTGCTGGGGCCAGAACTGGGGCCGGAACCATGGCTGCTGGGGCCAGAACTGGGGCTGGAACCATGGCTGTGTGGGCCGGTTCTGGAGCCGGAACCATGACTGTGTGGGCCGGTACTGGAGCAGGCACCATGGCTGCTGGGCACGGAACCGGAACACGGAACCATGACTGTGTGGGATGGTACTGGAGCACGGTACCATGACTGTGTGGACGGGCACTGGAACACGGAAACATGACTGTAAGGTCCAGTTCTGGAGCAGTGACCATGGCTGCTGGGCACGGAACAGAAGCCTGAACCCTGGCTGTGTGAGCCAGGTAATGGAGCACGGAAGCATGGCTGTGTGGGCCGGTACTGGTGCACGGATCCATGGCTGTGTGGGCCGGTACTGGATTACGAGCTGGCTTCCTGACCTTGCGTTTCTTTGAGGTCTTTTGGAGGCTCCGTGGACCTCCAAACGCCAGGCGGGATCCCAAAAAAGGGTCAGAGAATGGAGACTGGCACTCAGGGCTACGCGAAAAAACTCTGAGCCATTCAGGCAACGAGCTCCTCAGGCAACGAGCTCCTCAGCCATGGCACGTTAGACACCTCCATTTGTGCCTTCTTGAGGATAGCCTCTTTGTCCCTTCTTGACGAGGTTCCACTCCACTCGGCATAATAACATTGAAGGGAAAAGTCTAGATCGAACAGATCTAACTCAAAATCTTCAATATCCGCTGCGTCCATATTTGGTCGGTTCATTCTGTTAAGGTTCGGCAAAAGGTAGGACCCAAATGCAGATTAAAAGGGAAGCGGGTTTCAAAACAAAAGTGAGCTTTAATAAAAAAGCTGATGAACGTAAATAACATCGCATGAAACACATAGGTAACACGAGGAAGATACAATACCAAAAACGATCGTGACCAACATGGAGGGAGACAGGTAAAACCAACAATGAACCGACAAGGCACACAGGGGAAGACGAGACTAAATACAGAGAGGGGTAATCACAAGACAAGACACAGCTGGGGTAAGGGAGGCAGAAACACAAGGGCAACAGGTGAACACAATCAGACACACCAGGGAAACTAACGACAGGAAGAAGGAACAGAGAAGACACAAGGAGGAAAACATTTCAAAACAAAGGTGGAAAATGAAAACATAAATACAAAACCGTAACAGACTGGGAGCTGCTGTGATGTGAGGAAAGTGAAACTTAAGGGAGGGAGGAGGTGCAGCAGCTCCTATAAGAGCGGAGCCCCCCCACCGGCTCCTCCGTAACTCTCTGCCCAGGATGGGAGTCCAAGGCCTGACCACTCTGCTGGAGAAACACCGGAGGATCTACCGGGATCGCCGCCTCTCTCACAGCTGGCTGCTGATCGACGGCAGCAACCTCTGCCACTGGCTGTACGTCAAATCAGGTGAGTACTGCAGTACACAGAACAGTACTCAGATCTTGTACTTGAGTAGAAGTACCAGAGTGTAGGAATACTTTGTTACAGTAAAAGTCCTGCATTCAAAATGTTACTCAAGTAAAAGTAGAAAAGTATTATCATCAAAATATAGTTAAAGTACCAAAAGTAAAAGTAGTCATTGTGCAGATTGGTCCATTTCAGAATAATATATGTTTTATAATTATTGATCATTAAAGTGTTATCAAAGCTGGTTAAGGTGCAGCTAGTTTTAATGAGTTTGTATACTGCAGGGTAGCTTGTGAATTTTCTCCAGGTGTAACTAAAGTCTGATTTAAGACTATATTATAGTTCACATCATAAATCCAAATCTGTCAAGTAACTAAAGGTATTCAATAAATGTAGTGGAGTAAAAGTACACCATTCACCTATGAACTGTAGTGGAGTAGAGTACAACGTACCTTAAAAATTGACTTTTAACTGAAGGTAGATAGTGTAGAAATACTGTAAGACAAGCAAAAGTCCTGCATTCAAACTCTTACTTCAGTACCAAAAGTAAAATAACTCGTTTGCTATTTAGGAATCGTATATAATAATAATTTTATTTATAGAGTTAAAAAGTTATGTTGTTAATAAATTAAAGCAGACTCGTACTTCCCCCGCTGGTAATGTCTCTATACAGTACGAGTATATATACTGACAGATCATCATATTGGATTGTAGTCCTAGAGACACAGCTCTGATGACGTCAGTGTACTAAAAATACATTTATGAGTTTTTATGAACTGTTAAGGGTTTATTTGAGTAGAAGAAGGAATCAAAGTCAAAGGTTAACTTTATTGTCAATCTTTCAGTTTTGTGAACAGACAGAGATCGAAATACTGTTTCCCACAATCCAGAGGATTACAAATATATAGGCTATATAAAAAAAGAAATACATATATGTATATATACATACATACACACCTGTACCCACACTTATATATATATATACACACATACATAATCAACATAGCATACCTGCAAATGTATATAGGCTACAACTAACTGAACACGTAGTTTTCTGTGTACTGTAATTTACCTCAGCTCTGTCTCTGTTTCAGAGTGAGTCTGTCTCATAACTGTAAGTGTTTGTCAGTATATCTGAAATGACTAGGTTAGCTACGTTAGCTAGCTAGTTTACAGCAGATTTGCAGTAACATCAGAAGGTGTCATGTGATCACATTCAAATAAGACCATAAAACATTTTAGGTAAATTTCCAACAACAGAGACAGTTGTTCAGCTTTATAATCCTGAACGTCACCAAGCGCTCCGGTCCCAGCTGTGTGCGTCACTTTTTAGTGTCCCTGTGGTGGGAATGTATTTATCAAATGTGGATAGAGAATCAAACCATTCAGCTGTCTTTTCCATATTTTATTTCTTGCAAGAAAGTTCAGTCAGTCATACAGAGAGCATACAGTCTGCAGAGTGAAAGACCCAGGCTGCAGTAGAATAGTCCAAAAATCAGCTACTATCGTCTATTCCTATCGTCTATTCCTTGACCTCTGTGTGAAACGTCACGGGGTTAAGGAATAGTGGAGAGGAGAATTCAAAAGGACTTAGAAGAGACTGCGGTGCTTTGAGAATCGACTGCACTTTCACTATCCAACGTTTATGATGCGCCAGCGGACGACATTAATATGTATACGCGTCTGCTGTGGGGAAAACTACAGTTTTCTATACAGCGGACTACATGGATGTTTAATAAGAACGGACTACTGTAAACTCATCTAGAGACTCTGCACCGTGCGATGGTGTTGTTTTATGCTTTATGAACAGGGACAACAGAGAAACATATTCTTCATGACCAAAGTTGGAATTGAAATAAAAAAGGAAAGTGAAACTTATGCTCGTCACCCTCTCCCTCCGGTCCACATTAATACAAATGATCCCAATACGTATTATTGTATGAAAAGATCTTAAAATAAATACAAATGTATGTATTATAAATGTTAGTCCTTGACATCTATCACTGTGTATATCACCATTCAAACATCTTTTAAAAGTTTAACAAACCCCACCTAGCTCAGTAAACACTGTGAAATTATGACTTTATTTGATCATTTCAGTAAAAACTAACGTTCATATTTCTCTTTTTGATTTTAATACTGATGAACGTTAAAAACAAAGCACTTTGGCAAGTTACCACAGATGTTTTAAAAGGCTTATATAATACATTAACCATGCTTTACCTGAACCTCATCATGACACTATAGGACGGCAGGATTGTAATTTCCCGTGTTCAGTGAATGCAATTATTATGTAAAAGATTATTTCCAAGGCACACCTTGATATGCTCATTATAGTTATACAAAAAATAAGAGAATAAATGAAAAACAGTTATGAAATACTATATGACAGTAAAACAAGAATACAGTTTAAAAGGGGAGTGATTTGTAAAATATCCATAAAGAAAAAGAAAATCTGTTTACAGTTCTGTTTCATATGGGTGTTGAGAGATGTATCCATAGATCTCTTAATTTTGCTCTCAAAGTGCACCAGATTGATGCTTTTAACTTCAATATTTAAAAATCTTCCCGGGGGAGCATGCCCCCAGACCCCCCTAGAGGAGGTGAGGACCCCCTTAGAGGAGGTGAGGACCCCCCTAGAGGAGGTTAGGTCCACTCCCCACTTGTAAAAATAGCACTTTACCACTGTAGCGCCCGGTACCTTAATGGGAAACCCTACATGTTTGAGCACCCTCTCTGAAACGTCAAGCTACCCCACAGCACCCCCAAAAGAAAATCTCTGGCGCCGCCACTGTGGGCTAAGCCCCAAATGTTTGAGTAGTATGAAGCTGCAGCCTGAGGCTGCACTCTCAGGACCACACTCTCAGGACCACACTCTCTCAACTGTTGAAATATAAGACTATGAAAAAGTTATCTCAGTGGGTCTCAAACGGTTTGGTCACAAATTATTCAAAAGATTATTTCCGCGGCACACCTTCATATGATCATTATAGTTATAAAACAAATAAGAGAATAAAGGAAAAACAGTTATGAAATACTATATGGCAGTAAAACAAGAATAGAGTTTAAAAGGGGAGTGATTAGTAAAATATCCATAAAGAAAAAGTACATCTGTTTACAGTTCTGCTTCATATGGGTGTTGAGAGAGGTATCCATAGATCTCTTCATTTTGCTCTCAAAGTGCACCAGATTGATGCATTTAACTTTAATATTTAAAAAAAAAATCTTCCTGGGGGAGCATCCCCCCGGACCCCCCAGAGAAGGTGAGCCCCCCACTCATAAAAAACACCACTTTACCCCTGCATATATGCCGTGAGCTGATTATCGAGCCTTCATTGTAACAGTCGCGGGTGTACTGTGTGTGTGCGTGTGGGGAGTGTTGCAGTGAAAAATGCCACTGTAGTGCCGCCGCCACTGTGGGCTAAGCCCCGAATGTTTTCAGGTCCAGGCGACGCCCCTGGTAAACGCTGTAACTTTATTTGATCATTTTGCAAAAATCAGCGTAATGCTCATATTTCTCCTTTTGGTTTAACATATTGTTGAATGTTTATAACATATAAACACTTTAGTTAGTAAGATGTGGTTCAATAAGCAGCGTAACTTACACGATCTGCGTTTGGTTGTTTCTGTGAATGGTTATGTTTGGTTAGTGCATGGAATTGTGGGACAGCATCATCTCCTCTCCTTTCCTAAAGGATGGTGTATCCTAAAGGAGATAATGAAGGAAGCATTGAGGCTCTTTTCCTATGATATAAAGAACTCTCTTATCATAGCTGCAGCTTAAAGACTTCCGGGCCAATTCCTCAGCTAGAAACTTCCTGAGAGGAAAAGAAGGTTTCTGTTTCATATGGGTGTTGAGAGATGTATCCATAGATCTCTTAATTTTGCTCTCAAAGTGCACCAGATTGATGCTTTTAACTTCAATATTTAAAAATCTTCCCGGGGGAGCATGCCCCCAGACCCCCCTAGAGGAGGTGAGGACCCCCTTAGAGGAGGTGAGGACCCCCCTAGAGGAGGTTAGGTCCACTCCCCACTTGTAAAAATAGCACTTTACCACTGTAGCGCCCGGTACCTTAATGGGAAACCCTACATGTTTGAGCACCCTCTCTGAAACGTCAAGCTACCCCACAGCACCCCCAAAAGAAAATCTCTGGCGCCGCCACTGTGGGCTAAGCCCCAAATGTTTGAGTAGTATGAAGCTGCAGCCTGAGGCTGCACTCTCAGGACCACACTCTCAGGACCACACTCTCAGGACCCTAGTTGTTTTGCAACATCGCCACCTAGTGAGCAGGAGACATGAATATGAACGACAACGCAGAGAGTGTGAGTAGTGTGAAGTGCTTTTAAAGTTTTATTTGTTTAACATTAATAACAATTCCGGTGTCTTGAAATGAAGTGTGATTAGCTAACATTAACTATGATAGTCTTAAGGCAATACAAACAAACATCTGTTAGCTTATGATAGCTTCTAACAGTATTAAAGGCACTAAAAACAATTATTTGTTAGCTATAGCTTTCGGCAAAAGCTAATGCTAATAGCATTAGCTTCATTAGCATATTTGATTATTTGTTTAATGAAACTGTAGCGTGATTTTGGCAAGCCCAACTAGGTGTCCTACATTAATTGTTGATTTAATCACTAATTACAGTAAGAGTGTGAGTAATGTGAATCATGTTGTTTGTTTAAAGTTAACAGCTAAATGTCATCTGTTAGCCTATGATGACTCGCTGCAAAACCAACTGTTAGCCTTTTTGTTTATTTGTATAATGAAACCGTATGTTATGGTTATGTTATTTAGCAGAGGCTTTTATCCAAAGTGACTCACAAAAAACATAAAAGAACCATAATTAACATTAAATTATCAATACAAATAGTTACATAGTCAGTTACATTACGTATTACATTTTTAACAGGGTAATTAGTCATCTGTAACCTACATTTAAAAAAAGTAAACTTCCCAACCCTGATCATTAATTATAGTCAGCTAATTAATTAAACT